GAACCTCTATTTAGAAAATGCTATAATTCATAACATAATGAATGCTATAATTGATAACATAGCTAGGGTTGAGAACTCTTTTAAATTGGTATCACATGTTTATTTGTGCCTTTCAAACTATTGGTTGAAATTTTTTTTTTTTAAGATTATATTTATTGTCAGAGAGATAGAAGGAGAGAGAGCACAAGCATAGGGAGCGACAGGCAGAGGGAAAGGGAGAAGCAGGCTCCCCACTGAGCAGAGAGCCCAGTGCGGTACTCTGAGCCACCCAGGCACTCCTACTGGTTGAAATTCCTTGAGATAGTATAAGAAATTTTTCCATTATCTTTTTTGTTTCCTATTTGAATTTTCCCCCCTTCTGAATGGCAGAGCTTTTCTAAGTGAATTATTGGGAAGGGCTTCCTACTCTTGGTTAGTAAGGCCCTGAGAAGTAGAGCTCCTTACTATGCCCCTCCCATATCCCAACTTTTCTGGTAACCTAGACAAAGCGAAGAATTTAATATTTGCCAGTGAGAGGTACTACAAGAAAACTGCTTTACATAGTGTTTTGCAAATTGAAGTGGTGATATCCCAATATTCTTGTTACATTACAGCTATTAAATACAGTTTAGTTGAAGGACCAAAAAAAGAAATCATGTGAGTGGTGTTTTGATGAAAAAAAAATTGTGTCATTCAACATGTATTTGTATCATCTGATTCCACCATATAGCTAAAGATCATTCTCGTTGCTTACAGTGAGTTGCAATTAGAAGAGAGTACTTAACGTATAGTCAGATAAAACTGAATGCTAGACCATAAATTCAAGAAAACAAATACAATGGATCAAACTAGAAGTAGTACAGTTTGAAAAGAGTGATAGAGAAATGGAAGAGGACATCATTTTTAACATTTTTTTTTAACTTGAACTTAATTCTCTCTAACAGAGGAGGTAGACATGTAGCAGTAAAAATAGTTAAAAATGTGGATAGATACTGTGAAGCTGCTCGCTCAGAAATACAAGTTCTGGAACACTTGAATACAACAGACCCCAGTAGTACATTGTAAGTATCAAAGTAGAACTCAGAAAATGCTCTCAGGTAGATTTGAATTGTGAGAATCTGTACTCAGTTATTTTTCATGTGTTTATAGCCGCTGTGTCCAGATGTTGGAGTGGTTTGAGCATCATGGTCACATTTGCATTGTGTTTGAACTATTAGGACTTAGTACTTATGACTTCATTAAGGAAAATGGTTTTCTGCCATTTCATCTGGATCATATCAGGAAGATGGCATATCAGATATGCAAGTCAGTGAATTGTAAGTACTTGGCATATCTTCCAGAAATTTGAGATTATTAAGACTAATTTAATGCCAGACTGATTTGGATCTTTTAAGAAAAAAACGGAATCTAACACAAGCCTAACTTAAGGGGTAGGTATGAAAGATGTTGATGACAAGCTATTGGTCAGTTTTGCATTTCATTAAGTAGTATATTGTCCATCATACAATAATGTCATATAGAAGACTAGTTTAGCTTGATTTGTAACTACTTCCACTTCTCCCAGAAGACTTGCTACTATGGTTCTGATATCTGCTTTCATGGTCTCTATGACAATGTCCAGGTTCACATCCTTGACTGTAGTCATTTCTGTATTTGTCAATGTAGCATCGACTTTGATAATCTTCCTCATTTATGGATCTGCTTTCCAAGTAATAGCTAAAAAAAATAGATTTTAAGACTTTATGCATCCCCCACCAAAAAAAAAATCCACACAGTTTTACAAATGTTACAAGCCATCATTGGAAACAGGCAAATCTCGGCTTCATGAATAAAAATACTTCTTCACTTTTTGAGCAGTTAGCTGGTGGTGGACTAACTTTGAGGGTAGTGGGTGGTTTTCTAGCAGGCGGTTACATGTTGACAACTTTGGACATGTTCATCAGAGAGATTTTTTTGTTGTAGGGCTTTTCAGTTTGGTTAGGTTTTTGATTTTCAGATGACAACTTTTTCTGTTTCATTCTCAGTTCTGCACAATAACAAGTTGACTCACACAGACTTAAAGCCTGAAAACATCTTATTTGTGCAGTCTGACTACACAGAAGCGTATAATCCCAAAATGGTAAGTCTTTAGGTGTATTACTTCATTGTTTGAAATTAAGATCTTATGTCTTCTTAATATTATGCTTCCTTAACCCATCATTTGTGATTTCAGAAACGTGATGAACGTACTTTAATAAATCCAGATATTAAAGTTGTAGACTTTGGAAGCGCAACATATGATGATGAACATCACAGTACACTGGTATCTACAAGGCATTATAGGGCACCTGAAGTTATTTTAGGTAAGTTACTTGATTGTGCTTTGAGAACTTGTATATATATTTATTGAAGCTAACCTTTTTAAGATTTTATTTATTTGCAGAGAGAGAGCGAGAAGAGGGAACACAGGCAGGGGGAGTGGGAGAGGGAGAAGCAGGCTTCCCACTGAGCAGGGAGCCCGATGCAGGGCTCAATCCCAGGACCCCGGGATCATGACCTGAGCCGAAGGCAGACGCTTAATGATTGAGCCACCCAGGCGCCCCTGAAGCTAACTTTAAAATTTATAGTTCTAGTCTTATTCTTTGTGGGGATTTTCTAAAATCTTTTTCCCTTTAAGAGATTAGTAACTTAAAACACAATAAGGGTAGGGGGCGCCTGGGTGGTTCAGTCAGTTAAGCGTCTGACTTCAGCGCAGGTCATGATCTCAGGGTCCTGGGATGGAGGCCCACATGGGGGGCTCCACTCTTGGCAGGGAGTCTGCTTATCCCTCTGCCCCCCTCAGCTTGTGCGCACAGATGGGCACGTGCATCCACTCTAATAAAATCTTTAAAAAAAACACATTAAGGATTTTGAACTTATGTTTGTTTTTTAATGTCTTTGAGAAATATTAGTTTTTTTCTAACAGTTTGCTTTTGCTTTACAGCCTTAGGATGGTCCCAGCCATGTGATGTCTGGAGTATAGGTTGTATTCTTATTGAATACTACCTTGGGTTTACAGTATTTCCAGTAAGTGACAGTGATCTGTTTCAATGGTTTTGCTCAAAAAAAGTGCTTATTTATGTGAATGAGCACTTTAAAGCAAAGTATGCACATTTAGGCATTAGGCAGTTTTTTTTTCTAATTAATAGACTTAATTGTTAAGTATAAAGGAATAAAAATTCTGTAGCTGATACTATTGGATATTTGCATTTCCTTAATCATCATTTAAAAAATTTTTTTAAGTATATTATAAACAATTTCCTGTTCATTTGGAGATATCATTGGTGAGCTTGTTCTTTGGGCCTTAATATTTGTTGTCAGCTGTAACTTGCTTACAGTTTGCCCTTTTTAGTAATCACCTTTCTTTTGATCTCTATGGAATAGAAATTTAGCAGCTGTGTTAAATGAGAACAAAGTACACAATGTGCTTATTAACAAGTTTTGTTTATTGTTTTAGACACATGATAGTAAGGAGCATTTGGCAATGATGGAAAGGATTCTTGGACCTTTACCAAAACATATGATACAGAAAACCAGGTATGTTTTTATTTAAGAGTAGGTGCCATCCTTTGTACCACTTGGTATTATATTCTGATTAGAACTTTTTAATATAAACAATGAAGTCCTAATGCTTTTTCACTTATATAACAGATTCCTTTGTTGGGAAGCCAATATTACTAGGCTGTTTTCAAGTCTCTAGTAAAGTGTTAATCTTTGATCTACAAAAGCATAATAATTGATGAAACCAATCATTTTCCTAGAGGTTTTAAGTTTTCATTGTCAGCATTATAAACATCAATGGATATTGACTTACTCTTAGGAAACGTAAATATTTCCATCATGATCGATTAGACTGGGATGAACACAGTTCTGCCGGCAGATACGTTTCAAGGCGCTGTAAACCTCTGAAGGTAAGTCTGGGACCATTACTTAAATGATTAAAACCTTGAGTTTCCCTTCTCTTTATGGTAAAGAAATAAAATTACGATAAGTGGTAGTTGAAGACTGTTGACTGTTTTTCTTTTCCTTTCAGGAATTTATGCTCTCTCAGGATGCTGAACATGAGCTTCTCTTTGATCTCATTGAGAAAATGTTGGAGTATGATCCAGCTAAAAGGATTACTCTCAAAGAAGCCTTAAAGCATCCCTTCTTTTACCCCCTAAAAAAAGCTACATAGATCTATAGTTCTCTTGAAGATATTTTATGGACTGTATCAGTCTAATTTTTAAATAAGTTATTTTGTATAGCTTTTGTAAAATTCTTACATTTTTGTATTGCTGTTTATTTTGCTTGGATAATTTAAGTAAATTGCTAAAGTAACGAACATTTTTTTCCAGTAATTACTGTACAAAATGATTTATTTAGAATAAACTTTTTGTGCTTATGAAATTTATAGGAATCTGTACAGTTTTTTTTTTTTTAAAGGTAGAGTGTTGTGTGTTTTTTTAATACTCACTTATTTGAGAAACAGCATGAGCCAGGGGGATAGAGGGAGAGGGAGAAGCAGACTCCCCACTGAGCAGGGAGCCCGACGTGGGGCATGATCCCAGGACTCTGGGATCATGACCTGAGCCGAAGGCAGACACTTGACCATCTGAGCCACCCAGGCGCCCCCTGTACAGTTTGTTTTTAGCACTGTTTTTCTTTCTGTATATATTTCCATTTTTGGAGGTTTCCTTTAAGTCTTTGGAAATATTTAGCTTTGTTTCCATTTTAGGGATTGCCAGCATCGGGGCTTCTGCCTTCCTTCTTGAAAACAAATGTAATGAGGGCGCCTGGGTGGCTCAGATGGTTAGGCGTCTGCCTTCGGCTCAGGTC